TGCTTCAGCTCCTGCGAGTCTTGATGCAAGACTGATGCAGGGGAGCAGAGGAATTTCCCTTTGCTCCCTCCGCAATGGCCAGCAGGCTAGGAGATGTGCTCTAGCATCCCCCACCTACTGGCCTGGGTCAGTGCAGGCCTCCCCCTGCCTTTCCCAATTGAAAACTGAACATCAGTTCAGTTGATTATCAGTTCAACCTATGCAGTTTAGAGGAAGCTGCCTAGATTGAATCGATTCAGCCTCAGGCTTTTTGACTGTCTACATTTAGCCCTAGTGAATTACAGCAGCAATCACGTCTTTGTGTACCAGCCACTTTCCTCTTCAAGTCTTCTCTTTAGTAGAAAACTTCCATGGTTCACCTCTAATAGGATGTATTTATAAAAGCAGCAAAAGTTTACATAGCCACTTGCCAATACATTTCTGCTCTTGCTGCAGTTCTAGATGACTCCCAGCCCTCATCCCAGAGGACCATGCTTGAAACCCATTATCCAGGTCAGATTTTAATATTTTAATTAAAAAAAAGTGCCAGGTGGAAAAGCAAACCTTTCACTGCCTTCCATGACAATTTACAAACACTCAAGCATACTTATCAGTTTGGTTTGAATGTAATACTCTGAAATGGGTTACCAGACATAGCAACTCTGACAAGAACGTAACCCAATATCACTTCATATTGTGTGCTCAGGAGTTCTCAACCTATGACTCTCAGGTAGTAGATTGCTTGAAGCCTAAACCTCAACTTCCTTACCACTACAGACCTGAGTTCAGCACCTAAGATTCACAACAGCCAGGAAGCTGAGCGCCAATATCTTGGTAGTTGGATACGCAAGATGCGACTCAGGCAGCTTCCCTGCTAAGTACTCCTATTTCAAATATCCCTCAGGTGGCCACTTAGAGTCGTGTTTGTATCACTATGAATGGACACCTATTATAAAACTATCAAATTCTGTTCCTTTTTTTTTTTTTTTAGAGTGGTTTTACTACAACTCTTTACTATGAAGTTCATACTCCTTTATATGTGATTACTTGAGTCATCAAGGGTGGACTCCCATTATATAAAATAAACAAAGCATTTGAACTTACTGTACAAGTTGAATTTGCTCTATGTAATATACAACCCGTGCTTTAACTCCTGCAGTGGAATCTGAGATGGAAAAGAAAACAGATGGCAGTTATGCTGTTCCACCCCTTTTCAGCCCTGGTGCAAAGCATAAGGACATGCAGGACATTTGCACAGACTTACTGGACGTGGTTGCCCAAGACTCAAGTCTTGAAAGTGTGTGCACCAAAAGTAGAGTACGTAAACCAAAAAGTACACGAAGTTTCCATTCATTAATATTAAAAAAACTCACCAAATTCAGAGGCAATGAAGAGAAAAAATAACCCAAAACAAACAGGGAGGGTACATTTTTTTATGATTATGAAATATTGGTACCGCATCAGCTCTTTTCCCCTCAGTTAAAGACATCTTTTCATACACTCCTTCAGATTGTTTAATCTTACACCATCTCCATTACTGGCAAGGCTTTCCCCTCTAGTTTTCCAGGAAACTGTTCATGTTCAGATAGCTGGAGTACATTAGAAACAGAAGTCCTCTACTAGACATACCTTATGGTTAGTGCAAGTTTTATGTTGCTCTTCCAATAAACAGGCACGCTCTGGATCCCGGTATGCAAGTTAGCGTGGGAGTTCGCGCAGGAGGGGCACGAGGCTCTAGGTGGTGAGCCTGAAGAGAAGGGTCAGCACAGCAATAGCCCAGGCTATTACTACCTGTGCAATGGTGGTGCTGTGCCACACCCCAAAGATCTCCATCATGTCTGGGACCCCTCCTCTTCTGGTACCACTGAGGCCTCCACCCAGATGGGGCCCCTGGGTCTCGGCTGTGGGGGCTGCCTGGAACAACTGACCTGGAGTCAGGAGCAACAACACATCCTCTTGTGAGGGTTGCTCTGTGTTGGAGTCTCTGGAGTGCTGGACAGGGGAGCTCCAGGCTGCAGTTCAGAGGCCGCATGCCATCAGGGATGGCGAAGAGGAGATTGACTCTTTGCCTGAAGAATGAAGAGGGAAGCACGAGGATGATTGGCAGGACAAGGGTGAACAAGAGAAGCTCCTGTGAAGTCCAATAGAGGACGCCTGGACGAAGGTTGTCGCTAGCCCCAAGGCACGCTGCACCAGGGTCACCACCCCCTGGAACTTCACAACAGATACAAACTTCTCACAGCACCAGTAGAGCCAGCTAAGCTGCCAGCTCCAGCAGTCGAGGAAGAAATGCAACTTGCAACCACCCCAGGGAAGAAACACAGCAATTGTCATGGGCGACTCGCTTCTGAGGGGGACAGAGGGAGCGATCTGCCGCCCCGACCCCTTGACCCATGAGGTCTGCCTCCCAAGAGCCCGTATTCAGGATGTAGCTGAGAGGATCCCAAAACTTGTACGGCCCTCTGACCACAACCCCATGCTCCTCATCCACGTGGGCACAAAATGACATGGCTCAGAGCAATCCCAGTGAGGTTATGACTGACTACAGGGCTCTGGGGACAGGGCTCAAAGGGTTGGGGGTGCAGGTAGTTTTTTCCTCAGTCCTCCTAGTTATTGGTCACAGGCACAGGAGGGAGATGAATTGATGAAGTCAACAAAAGGCTGCAGCGTTGGTGCCATCGTGAACGCTTCCACTTCTTTGACCATAGTCCACACTTCAGAGGTAGAGGCAAATTTTAAGCATCGGTCTGTTGGGAAGGGATGGCCTCCACCTCACTCCAATGGGGAAGAAGCTCTTCTCAGCCAGAATGAGTGATCTGTTCGACAGGACTTTAAACTAAGCTTGCCGGGGGGGGTGCAGACACCCACCAGTGCAAGCCCACCAGATGTCAACCGCAGAATGAGGTCATGCAGCACAAGGGAATTCACTCCTACCCCGGCCCAAGGATAGGACTCTTTTAGAAGTGCTGGGAAGTGTAGGGCTTCTGAAGGCAGACTTACTTGCCTGTACACAAATGTCAGGAGCCTGGGGAACAAACAGGAGGAACTGGCCCTTCTGCTAAACAAAAATCAATACGCTCTCATAGGAATAATGGAGACCTGGTGGGACTTTACCTGTGACTGTACCACAGTTATAGATGGCTATACCTTGTGCAGGAGGGATCGTGTTGCTAGAAAGAATAGGGGTGTAGCTCTCTGTGAAGGAGCAGTACATTTCCCTCCAAGAGGAGTTTGACACCCAAGAAGAGCAATTTGGAACAGAAATGGAACTTAGAAGCAGAATGAAACAGAAGCAGAAATGGAACTGAGGCTGGCAACAAAAATTAAAGACAACAAGAAGTCCTTCAGGTACATGGGGAGTAAAAAGAAGACGCAGAGTAGCATAGGACCCCTACAGGACAAACTAGGGCAATTAGTGACAGAGGCAGGACAAGGCTCTTCAATGAGTTTTTTGCTTTTGTATTCCTGAACTTAGATGGGGACAAATCTCCCAACTGGATCACAGATAGGCACAAAAAGGACACCAGCCCACCAATTGTTAGTGCCGACTTGATGAAGAGGCACTTGGAAGGACTAGATGCATTTAAGTCAGCAGGCCCAAATGATCTTCATCCAAAGGTGCTGAAGGAATTGGCCAGTCATAGCGAAGCCACTGGCACAGCTGTTTGAGCGCTCTTGGTGCTCAGGTCAGGTCCCAGATGACTGGAAAAGGGCTAATGTGGTCCCTATTTTTAAGAAGGGGAAGAAGGATGATCTGGGTAACTATAGACCGGTTAGTGTCACTAACCTTGGAAAAACCTTTGAAAAAATTATTAAGGATCACATTTGTGGGAGTCCAGCAGGAAAAACAATGCTGAAGGGCAACCAGCACAGATTCATAGCAGGTAGATCCTGCCTGACTAACCTTGTTTCTATGACCAGGTCACAAAATGCTTAGATGCAGGACTCGAGGCAGATGTCATCTACTTGGATTTTAAAGGCCTTTAATACAGTATCTCATCCTATTCCCCCTTCCCGAGGTGGAGCAGCTTGCATTTCTCCATGTCGTATGCCACCAGGTTTTGATCTGCTCACCTTGTGAGCCTGTCGAGGTCGGCCTGAATCTCCAGCCGTTCCTCTAGCATGACCAAGCTTCCTCAAAATTTGGTGTCATCTACGAATTTAGCCAGTTCACTTCTGATACCTGAATCCATATCATTTATAAATATATTAAAGTACTAGTCCTAGTACAGAGCCCTGGGGGATGCCGCTGGTCACCATGTGCCACATTGACATGGTTCTATCAATTACCACTCTCTCTAGGTCCGACCACAGAGCCAGTTCCCGAGCCATCGGACCGCAAGTTTGCCGAGGCCACAGTTCCCAAGTTTAACCGTGAGGACTTCATGGGAGACCAAGCCAAAGGCTTTTTTGAAGTCCCACCCACCCCCACAGATTGCCACACACCCAAAACAATGGATTAATTACCCGGATTAAGACCAAGGAAGCCATTAATCCATGTGCTATTAAGTGTGAATTAATGGCTTGGCTAAGCTTAATCAGGGTAATTAAGTCCTAGTTTTGTGCCACCAAGTGGTAGGCAGTTTTGGCAGGTTGCAAAAAAGCCAAACACACACAATTTACCAGCAAGCAGAGAGAGTCTTGGAGCACATGGGGGGGGAGAGGGGGGGGCAGGAAGCAGAGCTGCTGAGAGCTACTGCTTGCAGCATCTGCACCTTCTGCTGTGAGCAGCCCTACCCACCCCCTTCTTCCTGCCCCCTCGCCCCCCTGTGCTCCAAGAACCTCTGCTGGCCAGTTTTGTTTCGTTTTTGCACCTACCCTGCCAAAATCCTGGAGCCTGTCCAAATTCATAGTTTCTGCGAAAAATCGTGCAGTCGTAAATTCAGTAGGTCCCTAACTATGAGCCACGTTATCTTGACCCTTTACAACAAAGCATTTTTTCCTCTTCAATTCATAAGCTCATTCAGTTACTGCAGGCAACCCATTTCTGACCATTTTATTTAAAATGTTTTATTCTTTATTTAAAGGGAATAAAATACAATCTCAATACATCATTTAGGAATACTTAAGACACCAGAAAGGAAATGAGGTTCAGAGTAACAGTACAAAAATGACAGGACGGGAGAGTAGATTTAGTGTTTCAAGTGCAAAAATTTAAACAGCTATAGCAGTTTTAAGTACACCACTACTGCACGCACAGTAGCAAGATAATATTTCACACTGTGCCCAATGGAAAGCTCCGTGAAAATGGCAAAACCTACTCAGCTAAAGTCAAATACGCAGTTTTAATGATGGCCTGAAGAAGAGTTTTATCTGTATTTACAGACCTCTCTCTGATAAACTTATGAGCAGTAGAGTATTAATTGGTATGTAGCAGCTTTGTAGAGTCTCACGGAAAGACTGTTTTTTCCAACATATTCTGGTGCTCAGAAGCAGAATTGTGAAAATAATTTGTACAAATGATGAATTTCAAGAACATGCACTCAGAACTTTGAAGTTAAAGTTTTTATAAGGCCCTGCCAAAAATATTAAAGAACTTTGATTTCTATGAAACTGTGCAACATACTGCCTGTAAACTGCATAACATGCATACCAAACATTAGTTCATACTTGTAGACGAGAAAAATGGCAAATAAGATTTCAGAATGCAAGAAGCTGCTATGGGTATATTGTGCAATTTTTGTTCTGGATGCAAGAAAGGGAAGCTTTGCACAAATTAAAGTGTATGTTGCATGTTTCAAAATGCACAAGACTGGCAGCTTTTATGCCTACGAATTATTAAAAACTTCATAAAGCATTAAGAGTTACCGTTTCAGCACCGTGACTATTAAAATGAATCAACTCAGAGCCATAGCTCCCTTGAGGGGAAAAGAGTTATCTAGTAAGCTTGTGTTTTACTAGATTCTTCCTTCCAGAAATCTGATTCCCTGTGATAAACTTATGTCCCAATTTAGTTGTTTCAATAGAAGAGAATGTACTGAGCCATAGAGAGTTCCAAAAAGTAGGAGTTATATAAATATTTAGTACATTCAAATAAAGGAGCTAATTGCTTCCTAACAATCAAATGCTAGGAAAGGAGATCAGTTAAAATCCTAATAGAGAAATACAAATACTGCATAACATACTCTGTATAAATGGCACGTACTCTTCCATTTTTAAAGCATAAAATATAAGGAGGCCTCTGATGAGCTTACATAAAAAGAGGATTTAAAATGCAGCTGGCATTTGTATTGCGTAGACATTTCAGAAGTTTCCCCCCAAAGTTTAAGGCTTTCCAATAGGTTTGTAGCATGCATCAGGCTGCCACATGCGAAGTTCCACAACCACTTGGTTAAGTTTTTGCATCCAAAGGTTACGTTCATCTTTAGTATCTGCAGACAGCCAGTTCCTAAAAAAAATGGAAAGCAAATTTAAAAGGATTTCTGCCACTTCTTTCCAAATGAATCCAAAGCATTTAGACCACCTTTGTGACCTGCGTTTAGATCACTTTTGTGACCTTCGGAAAAGGAAAACTAATTTTCCAAACTAGGAGATAACAGCCAAATATCAGGCCCTGCAGAACCCTAACATCTGGCCTACAGTGCTGCCCCCTCTCCCCCATGTCTCCGATTGGCCAAGGGGCCCCGGCAGTCCCGCCTCACCTCATAGATGGCCAATCTAGTTAGGACATGTGGCAAAGGGACCTTGACTGGGCCTGTGCCAGCCCAGCCCCATATGCTACATGGGAAGTGTGGGGCCAGTCTGGGTTGCCCACTTCCCACACTAAACTGGGCCTGCATGCTGGAGGACCAGCCCAGCACCACTAATCCAGCTGGTGGGCCTTGATGAGTTTGACCCGCCTATGCTTCCTCCTCCCCTTCCGCAAGCCAAGCTCCAAATACTAGCAAAACGGTAAATCAAGCTTGTTGGCTACATAATGTTGCTTCTACCACCACTTATAAAAAGTAACACAAATTCTCTCTAAGTGAACAGAATGGCAAATCAAGACTAGAACAAAATGGTTCTAGCATTATTCCCCCTAACTCCCACTCAATGCCAATAGTTATACTCTAGTCACATTTGGAAGTAAGACAGCAAGGACACTTAAGCCTATTTCCCCACTTACTTGGTAACACAGAGAGTATCTCTACACTGGCTGACAAGAGTCTCTCTGTCATCCTCCCTTTGAGGTCGGACAGTGATTAGCTCAAAAGTGTTAGGTCGGGCACAGAATTCTCTGTTGGCTGGTTCAATCTGACGATTAGTGCAATTAGCCAAATTTATCCGGCCCAAAGGATGCTGCAAGTAAAGTTATAGGAAGAATCATGAATACAGCAATCAGGATGCGACATTATGCCTAGCACTTTCCTTTGGCAAAGAAGGTAACACACTAAGTAAATCCAAAGCAAATTATGAAAAAGAGGACATTGTATGAGTAGTGCATAAGTTAAACAACCACATCTGGAGGACTGCACACAATGATAGTAGAATAAGCCCCACTACCATATTCTTCATGGCTACAGAAGCCACCCATGCCTACTGGGCTTCAGAATCTCAGGACTTATTTAAAGCCAATTATGTTTCTAACTTTTGTACATGCAAGAGAACTTTACGCAAGATTCCTGCTTCCAAGCTGATTGAGCCTGGCCACATTTAAAAAAGTCTAGATCAATTTGGAGGGATAGTCTGTACCAGGGTCTTGGAAAGGAATGTTTCTGTAGCCAGAGAAAAGTAGCATCCCCCCCAGTTCAGTATGCAAACTGCTTCTTAGCTCCAACAAGCAATGCTGCGATACAACTAACTTTCCTTTGTTTCCTAACAATGGAAAGCTAGTTGTATCACAGCATATGTTCTGTACATTTTTCCAAAGCAAGCACTGTAATCTTGTTACAGCGATTGTGGGGAGAATAAGGATACAGCTGTCCAGCTGGGGAGATGAGCCATTAATGCAAACACAAGGAAAGGCTGAAAGAACTAAGCATATATACCTTGGAAAAAAAAGGTGACTACAGGGGGTACATATAATAGTAGTCTTCAAATATCTGAAAAAACTACTATAAAGGAGAACAATTGCCCTCCCTCACTGTAGAAGAAAAGATGCAAGGCAATGTCTTCAAACAGTAGCAAAAGGAGATTTAGGTTAGATTTCAGGAAAACAGGAAGTCTTTCAGTTAAAATAGTAAGGTGTTGGAATACACTGCCTAGGGAAGTTGTGGAATCTCCTTCATTGGAGGTTTTCAAGAAGAGACTGGATAAGGATCAGACAGGAGAGTTACAAACAGCTAGAGCATGCTATTAAGAGCAATGCTGGGAAAGTCTAGGAGAGCCACACACATGCATTACCACCCCTCTCCCCCGCCTCTCTGCCCCCCACCCCTCCAGACCAGGTCAGAGCATTTGCCAGAGAACATTAAAAGAGCTCTGCAGGCCAGAAGAGGGAAATAGTAGATAACAATGCTCAGCAGCAGAAGAACAAAGCAGAGCTCCAGAACCAGCTTGGTTGTAAAAGATAAACCAGGATAAGATTATAGAGAGGACAGAATTAGGAAAAGAGTTCTGGCTTTCCAGTTAGAGTGTGAGATACCTGGAGCTATGTTTGCAGTAAGCAGATTGCAACAGATGTTGGGTTATCCCATATTTATTGGGATTTTATTGGTCACCATGTGGGAGCAGGAAGGAATTTTTTTCTCTCCTGTTGCTACTGGCATCTGAGTTGTTGGGGGGACAGGGGGAAAACAAAACAAAACAAAAAAAAGCAGTTGGTGCTGACTACCACGACAGTTGGTGATCTTGACTGGGGTGTGCTGAGGCTCTAGCTGGGACCTAGAAAACCCAGATATTACGGGCTGGAGTGTCTTATTCCTTGACGCTAGTTTAGACTGATCATCATATCTGGAATCAGGAAAGAATTTTACTGCAAAGTCAGATTGGCACAGAATTGGTTTTACAGACTCAGAATGGCCAGCATTTGCCCCAGAGTTTGAAAAAGCTATTCTGGCAACAGACAAGGAAGACTTCCTGGTAACTTGTTTAAGTGATTCCAATTCCTCCTGAAAGCATTCATCAGAGGAGTTGGAAACATTTAGATACATACTGCAGGAACAGACTGAAGAGCTGAGAGGGTCCAAATTAGAGACTGATCAACCTTTCTGCTTTGGGTTTGTTAGGCAGAGAAAGTCTTTAAAAGATCTGCATTTAAAGCACTGCACATTCAACCATGGTGGGGAGCTGCAAGATTAAATCAGGTTTTAACATGAGCATAAGTAAGGCAGTATAAATGAGTATTCATGGTGGGCAAAATTCTGTTCTAATATACTTGAAGCAAAATATTATTTAGATGAAATCCACTTATTAAAATTGTTGGTGGAGACCATAGTGTTGCCTCTTTAAACTGAATAGAAAGCCAATCATCTGATGAAATCTGCAAGATTAAGTCCCAACCTCACGTGAAGATTAAATAAGAACCTTTCCCACAACTGACAACTACTGCTAGCTTTTGGATTTGTTTTGGTCTACGAAGAAACAAGCAAAGAATTGAATAGCACACCTTAGCCAAGAGAGCTTGATATCTCCCACTTGGATTATACAAATTTGCAGGACTAAACACCGCAGACCCAGATCCACATGCTGAGGAATATGGTAGTCAGTAAGGTGATTTCCAAGCTCTTACCTTTCTCTTTTCATCATCTGGATAGGTCCAATAGGAAATACAGTTTCCAGAAAGCACACACCAGCGTCGATGCCAAGCCCCAAATCCACTCACATCTTCAAACATAGTCTAAGAAGAAAAAGAATAAAATTTACTTCATGCAACATTGTTTACTTTGGTTTACACTGTATTTAAGGGTAGTTTTCAACTAGTACAATATCTGTGTGCACACAATCACACACATGTGCACTCATACAGTAAAAAGGGTACCTTAATAACATTCAGCTTACCCCCTTTTTCCTTTCACATGGAAATTAATGACATTTAATTAGAATCAATCCAGAAATAATGTTCAGCTTAGCTATTACCACTATTTCAAAGGCCATAAAAGAAAATGTTTTAATAATAAAATACTAATCTGCCATAAGAAGACACTGCATTACCAAGTGTGTCAAGTGTTACTTGTAACAAATACCGGGTGACCAGGTTCAGAAAACAACTGCTTAAATACCACTATAGAAATTAATTTTAAAAAATTCAATCAGCCAACCCTAGTTAAGTGAATTACATTTCAAAATAAAATAGCTGACCAAGTTGCAATTAGTCTAGTGAGGAGTCTCACAACTTGGAAGAGGATTTTTCACTTGGGGAGGCAGTTTATTCCATACATTTCAAGATAAGGCAAATATTTCCCCAATCAACTTCATTAGTGGGTACAGAGAGAGTTTATTCTGTAGCCTATACCTCTGTTTCTTCTGTATTTATTTATATAGCATATTGTCTTAGCAAAATAGCAGTTTTCTTGTATAAAGTTATTCAGCTTTTTCTTGTATCCATTCAGAAGGCAATGCATTCCAATAGTTTAGGAAATGGTATTCAACACCACTCCAGAACAGTGATTCTCAACTAGGGTGCCATGGGACTCTGGGGTGCCTCGAGATCTTCTCAAGGGTGACGCGGGGTACCCCACAAAGTTAATTTAACACTATTAGGTTTTACAACACAATTCACAAAATAAGTCCAGAGATTCCAAAGAGAAATCCACAGTTAGTCTTTGAGTTCTTTGCAACAGAAAAACTGCTCTCTTTTTTGTCTACAAAAATGAGCACAAGCTAAGAGCTAGCATTTTCCAAAGGATGCTTTGAGTCTAAAAGATGCTGAGAGACTCACTGCTCTAAAAGCCTATAACAGCCACACAGTAAATATTAGCATTTAGCATACTGCAACAGTAGAGGTAACACCACAAAAGAGAAGTTTAAAATGGACCCATAAAAGGGTGTTAAGAAAATATACATGTATTAAGCATACACTGATTTGCCAAAATAAGGTAGATTTCACTAGGATAGATAAGTTTCTGATTCTGTCTAAATAAGAGGACAATCACAAAAGCCAATGAGAAAAATTTGAGAGATTTTTGGAGCAGGAAACAATCCAAGTGTCAAAGATGCACTTGTTTTTCAAAGGCTTTTTTACAGCACATTTAGTGCCATCTACTGGATACAAGTATAGCAATACAGGTCACTGGAATGGAATGTCACTATTTATCCAAAGCCAGATTTATTAAGTTCTACTTTTAGAAATTTAGATTTTTAAAGTTATCAAAATTGAAAGCTATACAAGTTTAACTTTGTCTACTGAACCGAAAGCCAGATGAAGAGGACAAGTGGTTTAACGGAGTTTTGCTGGTTCACAGGACTGGGGGAAATATTTTATTAAAGCATTTTCTTTAAAATGGGTCACAAATCTAAATTGCTTTTTAAAAAGTCTCTGGTGGCTAATTTTAAATTTCACACCACACAGTTGTACACTAGCCAGACAAGCCAGTTCAAAAGGAGCTTAGACAGAAGATCACAATGGCAATAAGTCAAGAGTTTGCAAGAAAACAGATAGAGACCCCAAGAGATAGTCTACTGAAGGGTAATAATTAGGGGTACACCAATAAAGACTTTCTGAGCCGATACCAATGGCTGATTATTAACGAGCCACATCAGCCGACGTCTATCCAATTGCTGATATGCAGCCCAGAAGCTTGGAGAGCAGTGCCTGGCCGGAAAGTCTTTTGGAGGGAAGGGGCATGGCCCCCAGAGCTGCCCCCACCCACCCCGAGCACAGCTCCAGCTGAACCCTGCACCAGGGACAGCCCGCACTGGGGACAGTCCACAGCAGCAACCCGCCTTCACCCCATGCACAGATCTGGGGGATATGTGCCTCCCATGCCTCCTCTGGAGGTATGCGCAGTGGCAGGAGCTGCACCCTGCCCTCCTCATGAGCCACACATGGCTCCATCCCACGCCCTGCCCAGGCAATGCCTGCCCCAGCCCCACTACCTGCCTCACTGTGGAAGCCTCAATCTGCCCTTACCGCACCACTCGCCCCTGCAACAGACTTACTAGACAAATAGTGCTCTCCAAGCTCCGGGCTGGCTGTGCACATGCACGCGGCATTTATCAGTGACATTATGGGCCACATCAGCCAAAAAAAGCCAATTGCTGATAATGTTAATTTTCCTTTTATTGGTGCGGATACAATATGGACCAATGTATCATTGCACTTCTAGTAATAATGATAACATTTCAGCAAATTTAGCCAAATGGCAGCTTAATAGTATTGGACACTATTTTTTTGGTCATGATAAGGCTTTGTAACCAAAGTTACAAAGCCTTATCATGAAAGTAAATGGGAGAGAGGAAAAAGTGGCTCCATTTAACCAACATGAAATCATTTGGTTAGTGCTGAGAAAGGAAAAGCATATGTTTTACCACTTGTGGAAGTGACTTAAAATAGCAAGCAAGTTAAACTTACCAAAAATCCTTTTTCTTCTACAGAAGAATCTAGTTTACAATTTAGCTTTAAATATATATGTCCTTCCAAAGGAGACAAAAAGGGAACCTACAAAAAAAGAAAATAAATTAGCTATTGAAATATGATGCACTTCAACAGCAACTCTGCTCCCAAGAAAAGCAAGTCTTTTGCAGCAAAGATATAAGCAATGAATCATTTTGGTGATCTCTAGCGGGAAGAGTCCTATGTATGGCAGGGTCAAAAGCCACTTGCTATCAAGTTGTCACTGGAAGTCACTTACACATGGAGAACTGGAAATACATTTTGTTTTTATAGTCACCTAGAAAGATTAACATTATAGGTATGGTGAAAAAATTCAGATCTATTCTATTAGAATATATGCAAGGTCAATCCAAAGTGGGGCAAGTGCCTAAAGTAAGACTTAAATCACCAAGATTCTACTTTAAGCCCACAAATGCAATCATCAAATCCTTGTTCAGCTGCTACCTAACTCTGAAACTGTCCTACTGGCACTGAATCCTGCACCAAACCCTTGAACTCCTGCCTCTGTACCTATGTAGAAATGACTAAGTCTTGATAGGGTAACACAGCTTGGCATCTAGGCCTTTACCCATACCCAATCCCACCCCCAAGGGATTTGATCCAGAAGACACTCAGAGTCTACCTACCGATTAGACTCTGCACAAAATACAGCCTCAACACTTTCTTTAAAAGTCATGGGAAAACATGAAGCAAAGAAGAGATGCTCGAACTGTTGAGCTATTATGTAAAAAAGTGAGACACGTCCAGCATCACCTCTTTCCACTACGTTTTAAAAACAAAGCGACTCTTTTTCCATTTTGAAAAAATGGGCATTAAGTGCCAAACTCCAGGAGAGACTGTCAAGATGAGAAATCCGAGTGAAGGATAACATCTCCTAGTAGCACCTAAAGTCCAGAGAGGGGTGGAATTTCAGCTCCTTCCAGTATTCATTATTCCAACTGATAGCTCTAGGTAGCTCCCAGGTAAGCATGCTGGCTACATTAGGTCTTCCTCTGTGACAACTCTCCCAGTGCACTGTCTAGGTGTTTCACTCAGGGTCATAAATTCTGCTGCAGGAGCCATGCACTTTAACATTAGATGTTACAATGTTGAATGTTATAACGCTTAGGTCTCTTTGTGGATTTGAGCCTTTAATTGGCCTTCTCCTTTTCTTGCAAATAGATTTAAATCTTATCAAAAAAGAGAAAAGCATGACTTCAGGACAACACCTGTCAAAAGCACCTTCTCTTCTAAACCAATACACTTTGTTAAAATCTACTCTCTCTTATGACTTCAACATAAGTGATATGCTAACCAATTACTTGTATAATCCCAATAAAAAATTTCTCAAAATAGAACAGAGTATTAGTAGGTCCCCCATCCTTAAAGGGTAACTATCAGAACAGTATCCTGATGAACAAAATGCCTCAAATCAAAAACTCAGGCAAATGTGAAGGCTCTTTGGCATCTGAATTCTATGATCCCTTGTCAATGCAGGTCTCTAAAGACAGATTAACAGTTGCCCTGCTCACAACACATTAAAGTTCTATTTTCTCTTCTAGAAGCTCATCCTATACAACATGTGTTCGATAAAGAAGCCAAAAGGCTCTCGCACACCCCAGGATTGGAATGACAGTAATTCAAAATGCAAGTGGCTATTTTGAAGGGCTGCATTTCATTTGGCATTAGTTTTGCATGCTACTGACAAGATTTACTACGATAGCCATGCAACCTGAAAAAAGAAAAGACCCCATGCATCTAGCGGATATATCAGTTCTTAAGCAGCAAGCTTGCTATTGCACAGGAGAGTCTTCATTATCAAAGGGATGCATTAGTATGCCCAGCAGTGAGGAGACATTCAAACAAACAAATGCAATTTCCAGCAAAGTTGGTGGGAATTTTGCCAGTGACATCAGGAGGAAACAGGAGAGAGCTCTTCATAACTCATGTTGTACCTATACCTAAACACTAAGGACAACTGAAGTACATGAAAAGAATGATATTTGAAATGTTCTACCAATAGTAAAATTAAGTTGTTTTTATTTGGATAGACAGAATCTCCTGGGTGCAAGGCAGGGGAGTGAATATGAAGTGAGAGGGGAAAAAAATGGTGATTTTCTTTATGGAGATAGTAAATAGGGGTTAGGATGTGAGGTGGGGATGGGCAGGGGCTGTGGGAGTGGGAAGAGGGGATGCTCTCCTAGGTCAGAGGCAGGAGAGTGAGAGTGAAGTAGAGTGAAGCACAACAGTAGATATGCATCTTGATTTAAAATTAATCGAAGTGTACCATTTAGATGTTGATGGGTAACATCATATATGTAGAACTGTTATTGTTGAATTCTTCAACCTTTTTATAAAACTAGTAAATTTTAGTTCATAGGCAATAGCAACAATTTGTGCTTTTAATGGCATTTGTAGGAGGCTATGTTTTCCAATTCTTCTACTGGCTTACAAACCTAATAGGCAAAACTATTCCTTCAACAATGGTGTTGAAGAAATAAAACTAGAATCACTTGACAGCATTCCTTGAGAAACCAGTAGTCTTTTAAAACCCTTTACAATAAGAATTTTAAAATGGGGAGCTTTAGTATTAAGTAAAAGCTTAAATAATATTTAAATAAATTTGATTTCTAATACTATGCTGGATACTACAAGACAAATAGAAACTCCTGCTATAAAGTTTTTTTAAAAATGACTTCTAACTACTACAAAGGCTTGAGAGTAAAACATGAGCAGCATGCACTAGGAAATAGCATTTAACTTTTAGTCAAAAGCAAGTAAATATAGCAACCTTGTCCTGGAACATATAGCTCAGTAGCTCTCTTTCCTTCCCTCCATAATTTATCTAAAGGGGAAAAAAATACGCTGAATGGTGCCAAACATAAGTCTAGAAAGTAGTGTAAAGCTACCTTTGAGTAGGTTTTACTCCTTTCCACCTAATCTAGTAGTACAAATATTAAAGGGGAAAGCATATGCAAAACCATTCTGGTGGAAGTGGATTCCTGTGTAGAGCGAGTTAAATAAAAAAAAAACAAAACAAAAAAACAAAGCAAATACAAACCAACAAAATAAAACCAAGCGTTTGGTGCAGTGAAAGGCCTCAGAGGTTAAGCTTTAAAAAAAAGTCACATGCTTATAAATATCTTCTGGTTTCCCCTTATTAGTATATAGTAATTTGTTTAGTTTTGTTACTGGAAAACTGAATATGGTATTCCTACACATTTACTTCAGTTTTTATTTTCCAGTTATATGGTGTTAATACTTCATATAGGCAAACGTTAGCCCAAGCTTAAAATCCTTTCACAGTAGCATCCAATTATCTTTGGAGATGAAGCAAGCTAACTTCCATTACCTTGTCTAAAACAAATCTGGTGTTTCCCATTGAAGCCAGTGAAAGCTTGAGAGATCCAGCAAGGACAAAGTTACTTGTGCGTACAGCATGGGGGCCACCTGGACTAGCCATGGCTGCAATGGAAAGAGAGAAAATACACACATCTTAGCCCAACACACACGTAAGCACAACACTACAGTATGAAGCATAAGATACACAACATAAAAAAGGAATGGGTGTTTTTCTTTTAATATCTTCTCCTTTGACTCTGAAAGAACCGTGCCACTTTTCTACGAGCTGTAAGGTATATCTACACTGCAGCATGGTCTAGGGCAGTGACTCTCAATCAGGATGCCATGAGATCCTTTGAAGGGTGCCAGGAGGTGCCACGTAATGTTAGCACTATTAAATGTGCAAACATGATTCACAGAATAAACCCAGAGATTTCAAAGAGGAATCCACAGCGTTAAAAACACTTTCTGACCTGTTGGGAACTAAGTTCTTTGCAACAGAATTTCTTTGTTTTTCTGTGGTCTAAAAAGCAATCAATCAAAAAAAAAAACAAAAAACAAAAAAAAAAACAAAAACAAACAAAACCCCTAAAGAACTGGCATTTTCAGAGGCATCTCTTGAGTCTAAAAAGGTTAAGCTGGTATAGAGATATCTGAGCTAGGTTTGAATAAACTGGCTTGGGTCAAGAATGAATGCAGATTTTCCTTCTGAGAAGGTCAAATGTTGCTCATTTAGAACTCTGCTTTTCCAGCTATGCAGCTTCCGAGTAAACCCATTTCAAAACTACTTTGGGTAACTCTACTACACAGTGCAGCCTAAAGAACAAAGGCACAGCCCATTTATAATTCAAGACACCTTTCTCTCAAAAGTAAAAAATATAAATTGAGATTGTGCCAACAACACATACACTGAAAAAAAAAATATTCACGTAAGAGATACCAAGAGCCTCAATATGTTAAAATTTTTACTCACTGAAGACTGTTACAAAATGAGTGACTGCATTTGAGATCTCAGTAGACAGTTACCATTCTGCTTTAACCTAAGTTACTTTGAACATGTTTTCCCAAGAAAGACATGGGTGCTACAAATATCTAACAACAGGTCAGGAATGAACAAGTATTATCAGCTACATACAATGGTAAACATGAACCCAAATTATTAAATTGGCATTGCTCCATAAATCACATCAAAGAAAGATCTAGCCTGTGATCAAGCACAAGACAATCCTATCTAGAGATTTTAATTGCTTTTGCCACTGAGTTTTGAATACTCCCCCAAGTAGTTTAGGTTTTGCTTACCTGGAGTAAGAAGCGTGCTTTTCTAGGGAAAAAAAAAGAGAAGAGACAGCATTTAGGGAAAATACATACAAGAAAACCCCTAATAAAACTAAGAATGTATATTAATTTATCCATTCTAGCATCAGGGATGTATTTAGATTGCTTAGCTCTTAAGCTTCTAATGAAAATGTTTGGTTGTAAAGAGAATAATTTAAACTTTTAAAGGACAACACTTTTCATTCCATCCAGGAAGAGCACACACCAACTGCTGACGCTTCCTTAGCCTGACGAAGGGTTTTTGAACCCGAAAGCTTGCTTAATAACTATTCTCCAACCATTTGGGTTGGTCTAATAAAAGATATCAAATTCACCCAAGGAACCTTGTCCGCCTATGTCCTTAGACCAACACGGCTACAACCTAAACCCCTGCAACTTTTAAAGGAGACACTCAAGATGTCTGATATGGACACAGCCTTGGTTAGCATGTACAACCATAGCTTGTTGAAGCAATTTAAAGTAGTCATTAGGATATTACATTCATACTTACAGAGGTAATAGATGTCAATAATCTCTTTGGAGTAATAACCTATGAAAAACAAGATGACAGCATGACAACTAAGTACATTGCATTTATTTGTACATGAAATGTATCCATGACCAAAATGCCATTCAAATTTTATTGTATAAAAGCAATCCGAGTGGTGGATAATTCTTGTAATAAATCAACTAGATTTGTTTTCCTGAACTAAGTTATAAACTGAATAATTCCACTAAAGTATTTTATGAACTATGAAGCTCAAGAAACACCTATTCAGAGTACAACAAACATACATTTGCACCATTAGCAACACAAAACTAACCATTAACTGGGTACAAACTACAGGTGGTTCAAAAGCAATATTCAGCCTCTATTTACATGTAAATTGTGTAAGAAATATTTTCATTGTTTCTACAGTATGTTCAGCACTTAAATGAACAAGGCACTCTTCTCTGTTCTGGCAATTTGGGTTGTGTCAAGACCCACAAATCGTTTCATCGTGGCGTTACAAATATAAAACTCTTTGTATTCAAAGTCAGCAGTTTATACTGCATTTATAATTTACCTTCAACAAGTGATTACTTCCATAAAAGGAATAAAAGCAAAACCTTGGTTTTATGATGTCTATTCCTTTTCTCACCATCACCAGGTTCATCAGCAGAAAGTGAAAACTAAGGAGCTGCAGAACCAGGTAGGTATCCATTTTCAAGGGGGAACTTCATGTTCTCCATAACTGGGTTTCAAAGTTCATCTTTATCTGAGGGAAAAGTGGACGTTTAAAGCAGGGGGGAGAGGAGGAGCTATTGGATTTCTCTGTATATGAGAGCCAATAACTGCATTAAGAATTGAGCTCAAGCAAACCTTTCAGAAACCTAATTTACTACTTAAAGTCAAACAAAGCCAATGAGGTAACGTTTTATGAAGGCTTATTTATTTAACTAATTCTAAATCTTCCAGTTGTGCATATCTGGCCACTTTTTCTATATACTTCTCTCTACTTGGTTTGTAAACCTGTTGGATCAGGCCTTATGTTGCACTTGCAGTGCCTAGTGCTCTCACCCACGGAGGCCTAAGGGCCTAATTCTAGCGTAAATTAGCAGATCACAGTTTGAAAGATAATTTTGTCCAGCTTCAAGATATTGACTTTTTGCTAAGAGAACCAAGATACCCCTTCCCACACACACACACACACACGTGAAATCTTGCCAACACAAGAAAAAAAATTGCATAGAATATACCACCACACTGTGTACTAGAAGAGCAAACCCAGTTTACCAAGCTCCAGAAAAGAGTAAACCAAGATGGAGGCCCCAACAGAACAGGTGACAATGTTTTACAAAAGTGAATGTGCCTGTAATCTGTACTTGACGCACTCAATACCAGCTGCAATATTTGCTACAAAAATTACAGCAGTAAAAATCCTACTGTATTGACTTGAATACAAGGCAAGCTGTCACTCCCTGCTCCTCCCACCGCCAGATCATCATGGGGAAAAAGACCCCGTCTTGTATTTTCATATCAGCAAACCTCCCCCATTAAAATACATTCATTATCATTAAACCACTGCAAGAAGCAACATGTACTCAGTCAAGGAAACCAAGATAAAGGAAAATGGGGGGCTGGAATCAGGTGGCTGGGAGGATTAGGCAACTACTGCTGGGGGTCAGGCAACTGCTAGAGTCAGATCCAGAGCAGTCCCTGCCCTCCTCCACTTGTCCTCTGCAGCTTACTGTCACGAGCTGCTCACTTTCACACTGTGCATGAAGAAGGAACAGAGCCTGAGCAGAGGCTGACAG